AATTCAATAACTACAAGGAGTGGTAAGGTTATAGGAGAAGGTATTGGTGACAATCTGGCTGTAGAGAAGGAAATCCTACAAGAAAAAGAAGATGAGTGTGAAGGAGAAAAAGAGGAAAATAAAAGAGAGAATATAGAAAAAGAAAAAATACTGAAAAAGAAAAGAAAAATAAAAAGAGTGAGAAAAAGATGGAGAAAGATGAGAGTCAAATACCGCAATTGAAGGATTTACCATATCCTCGTCATCCTTCCCAGATAGATAAAGAAAGACAATTCACAAGATTCATGAATATTTTCAAACATTTATAGATTAATATTCCATTTATGGAAGCTATGGAGCAGATGCCGATTTATGCAAAATTCATAAAAGAGTTGTTAACTAAGAAAAGGAGATTTACTGCAGAAACAGTGGAGCTAGAAGCAGGATGCAGCGCTATAATTCAGAAATCATTGTCTCAAAAGTCCAAGGATCCTGGCAGTTTCACTATACCAGTCACAATTAGGACATTACAAGTAGGTAAGTCATTACTTGATTTGGGTGCTAGTATAAATCTAATGTCTTTGTCTATCCTTAAAAGAATAGGAGACTTGGAAGTAAAGCCTATAAGAATGACATTACAGCTAGCTGACAGATCTGTAAAGATTCCTTATGGAGTAACAGAAGATGTTTTAATTAGAGTGGATAACTTTATATTTCCTGTTGATTTTGTGATTATGGACATGGAGGAAAATGAGGAAGTTCCATTGATCCTGGGAAGGTCATTTATGAATACTGCCAAAGTAATTATAGATGTTAACATGGGCAAGTTGAAAATTAGAAGTGGAGATGATGAAGTTAATTTTAATCTGTTTGAAGTTGTACAACAACCGGAAGACAAGAAAGATTGCCTCAGAATAAATACTTTGGAAGAATTACCCATCTCAACTGAAAAACAAGATTACAAGTCTGTTGCACAACCCCAAAGACATCTTAGTTTGACTATGAAGGAAGTTATTCAAAGAGAGGTACTGAAACCTCCTGAAGCAGATATGATTTATCCAATCTCTGACAGTCGTAAGGTTACTCGCAATGAAAAGAATAAATTCATTCCCACAAGGACAGTCAAGGGATGGAGAATGCGTACATATCACCTTGATCACTCACCTGTATGAACCCTAAAGCAAATAGGCGTCAAGATGAAGACGTTAAACAAGCGCTCCTGGGAGGCAACCCAATGTTTTGAATTTGTTTTCTTTCTTTTTGCAGTTTAAGTTTTTTTTGTGCATTTTTCTTCCTTAGGTTCTTTCTTTGCAAGATTGCTCCAGGTACACAGTGCACTTCTCCTCAAGACTTTGAAGTCTTACTTCAATGGCCTGAGGACAGTCCAACTTTCTGGAGGGGGTGAGAAAGTCTGCAATTGAGGATGAGGCACAACATAAGGAGTAGATGACAAGTGAAGAAAATGAGGGAGGAAACTTACTTTGTTTTTAATTCCTTTGTTTTTGATTTAATGTTTTTAATTACTTTATTTTAAATTTTGAATTCCCTTACTGTCCCATAATTTGTTTTAGAGTCATATATGAGATTATTGTTTATTGTCTAATTTAAATCTAGAACGTGAAAAATAATTTTGATTGTTTCCAATAACAAGTGATTTTGGGATGTTGAGTATGATAGTGAAAAAGAATTGATACGGAGAATTAGGAATTAATTGAATTGGAGAAGCTAGCCAAAACTCAGGTGAGCAGAGTACCACAAACAGATAAATTGAGTGTCAATACTTTGTGATGATAACTGATATTGGTTGATTCTTTGATGTGATTATATGTTAGCAAGACTTCAAAATGATAAAGGCATTTTTTTCTTTGTAGTAGATACAACCCAGAGCCAAATAGCCATTAATTATAGGACATCCATTTGAACCCCTTCTGAACCAAAAATAATATTGTTTCTTAAACAGAACCCTTAAGCCTAAACACTATTTATCTACCTTCCTATATTTAAGAAAAGAAATGAGTATGAATGTCACTATTTTTCTTATTGTTGGGTATTGTTATTGTTGTCCTACAGGTATTGTTGAGGTGTTATTGTTAAAAAAAAAAGTGTAAAGAAAAAGGAAAAGCAAAGTTTAAAAATTTGCACAGCCAAAAAAAGGGTACATGCAAAAGCAAAAAAAAAAAAAAAGTCAAAAGGGGGGTAATAACTTGTGAGATTATTAACTCATTATCATTGTGTTAGGAACAAAAGCATGAAGTTTGAAACCTGACTTGAGGAATTGTTAATCAAGAATCATTCATATGAGTTGAATTTCTCAAATATTTTTGTATATCTCAGAAAAACCAATAATTCTTTCTTAGCCCAGCCCCATTACAAGCCTAACAAGACCTTTTGATTTAAGTTTTGTTTAACAATTGTTGATTGCTTGAAGATGATTATCAATATTGGATTGTCTAAATGAAGTGATTGAATGAGATAAACACTTACCTGTGAGAATTAGAGATGAGTATATATAACTCTTTTTGAGAGATCATGCTTCTCTGAGGATAGTTGAGGACTAATTATTCTTTGTTGGTTTCTATAACTTGAATGCTTATGTGTTCTATTTTCATTTGGAGTTGTGAGCATCACCTCTGAAAATTTTTATGTTGTGGTTCTGGAAGAAAATGTGATAATAGGCGATGGTTTTGTTTTGAAAAAACTACTTTGCTTGGGACAAGCAAGATTCTAGGTTGGGGGGAGTTGTTAAGTGGTAAAAAGTTGATATAATTATGTTTTGAATTATTATGAAACCACTTAACTTATGTTAATTCTAATATATTTTTCTCCCAATATAGGATGAATTCGAGAATACCTTGATACAAGAGTAAGGAGCATAATTGTCAGCATAATTGGAGTAAAATTGAAAGAAAGAAGAGCGCTTAAGCGAATGAATGATGCGAGGCCCGACCCAAATTCTCTTATAAAAAGATAAGTTATATTTTGAGAAAGGCAAGCAGTCTTGAAGGAGAGGAGGCACGACTACTGTTAGAGTTTCGTCTAATCTTCATCAATTCTTCATCAATTGGAGCATTGTAATGGCCAACATGAGTGACTAACTTTATTCTCTTAGGATTCAGTGCACTTCCTTTAAACTCTTTTGTATCATAGTGATATTTTGAGATATTAATTTATGCTTTGATGTTGTTATTCTTATCCTTTATGCTTTAGAATGATTTATTCTTGATTGTTTGAGGTATGATTGGAAAATATATCTTGAACCCTAGATCACGGTAAGAATATTTGTTACGTTAATTGCCAGGAATTGAATGAATGTATCAATTACTTAAACACCCTAACCCTAATGCTGGAAAATCTGTTAATTGTGTGAGGAATCAACATTTATTAGGTTTTCTTATGAATTTCATGTGTGAGGAATCAACATGGATGATTTGAGTAGGTGACATCAACATTGTTAGGTTAATTGACGTTCTTAATTGACATAGCCATTACAAAAGAGGGATAAGGAAGGAAGTCAATCCTAAGTACCTTTAATTGATATTTTCTCAACAATTTACAGTTCTTTGTCATTTAAATTCAACTCAACTCTTATTTGCTAATATACTTAGTAAGCATAATTGAGAATTTTCATTGAAACTGTTCCTCGTGGGATCGACTTTTATTCAATCGAAATATTATACTTGCGATTGATGATTTTGGTACGCTTACTAATAATTCAACATATTATAATAATTATTATTTTATTATTAATTATAATAAACATTAAATTATATAATGAAAATTTATTTATTATTATCATTATTTATAATAATAAAAGAATAAAAAATACATTGATTTAATTATTATAAAATTATAATAATATAATAATTATTATTATATTGTAAGAAATAGAAGTATAGATATTATAATTTTGGAAATTAAAAAAAATAAAATCATATTATAAAATATTATTTTTTTCATAATACGATTATTTAACTGTATAATTTTTTACAAATTTTTATTGTACTATTTTGGTTAAGAAATTGGAGAAAAGTATTAAAATGGTACAATTTAAAAAATATATTAATTTAGATAATTTTTAAAAAAATTATATAAATAAATAATTAAGTTTGATAGAACGATTTTTTACACGGTACTAACTTATATTTTTTATGTTTTTAATTTATTTTAATGAATAGTATGATTTCAATTATATATATATATATATATATATTATAAAATTAATATTATAATTAAATATTATTAATAACTATAATTAATAGAAATAATGATGATAATTTTAATAATAAATAATAAAATTAATAATGATATTAATAACAAAATAAAAATTATATTAAAGATAGAAATATTATAAATAAAATAAGTAATAATATATTATTATATTTATTACTTATTATAATAATTATGAATGATTTTATTTTTTTATCATAAATTTAATATTAATAATAATAAATAAATATAAATAATTTTCTAAATAAATATAGATAAAAAGAAAATTAAATTACTTAATGGGTAATTTTTTTAAAATTACACAATTCTGATGTTTTTTTCCTAAAATGACCCCCTCACATGAGGACATATAAATAGGTTTCCCATAAACGAAAGAGTCCGGGACATATGTAAAGAGTATATATATATTTATAAAGTTAGTTAAAAGTAGTAATATATAAAATTAGCTAGTATAATAAAAGACAACCTATCTTTTCCATATAAAAAAAACAGAAATGATATTTTTACATAAAAAAAAAAAAAAACATACAACCTTTTTAAATATTATAATAATAGTTTTAATTTATTTTTATTTTTATTAAATTATTTTATTAATAAAAGTGAGATATTTATAAGAATATGTTTATTCGTTGTCAAAATATTATTTCCCATAAAAAAAATTGGATATGCAGCAGCGTACAGAAGCGGGTCACGAGACACACCTTTTATATATAGAGAGAGGTATACATGTCTACATTTGCACAGAGAAAAAGGTTGGTTTGAAAAGTGAGTGTGGAAAATCTTACACACTGAACATGATCCCTGTGGTAATATTAAGGGCAGTAACAGTGCTGCTCTTGTGTGTGACATTTCTCCAAAGTGTGAAGGGTTTTCCACTGCATACCAGTGATCGGTGGATTGTGAACGAAAGTGGGAAGAGGGTGAAGCTAGCATGTGTGAGTTGGGCGTCTCATTTGGATGCTGCTGTTGCTGAGGGCTTAAGCCAACAGCCTTTGGATTTTATTTCCAAGAGAATCAAGTCCATGGGGTTCAACTGTGTGAGACTCACATGGCCACTTTTCTTGCTCACCAATGACTCTCTTGCTTCTCTCACTGTCAGAAACTCTTTCCAAAACCTTGGTCTCCTTCAATCCATCCATGCTGTTCAGGCCATCAACCCCTCCATCATCGACCTTCCACTCATCAAAGCTTACCAGGTACTGCATTGTTTACTCATTCTTATTAGTTAGTATATTTGGTTAACTTTAAACATGAAATTATTACTAATCAGCAAGAGTTTTTAGAAGATTCTCTATCAATAAAAGTCAATATAAAGAAGTTCTTAAAGGCATTTTGCATCCAAAGAGACTCTGAGTATTTTATTGTGTCTAACAAAGAGTGTAAGCAACTAATCTCCCCTCTGTCATAATGATGATTCATTAATTTCATCACCTAATTAGCTCCCAAATTAAGTCTCCTTGGTGGCCAAGTAAATGCAGTCTTTCCAACTGAATGCTACTGTATTTAGTGGTTAGAACTTGGAATTATGAGTGTCTTGAGGTTTATTAAACCAGAATGAGATATTATCTGTGCCAAGCAGGAAGTGGTGAAAAGCCTAGGGGAGAATGATGTAATGGTGATTTTGGACAACCACCTGAGTCAACCAGGGTGGTGCTGCAGTAACATGGATGGCAATGGCTTCTTCGGGGATGAATATTTTGATCCTGACCTCTGGATTAAGGGCCTTACCAAGATGGCTACAATTTTCAAAGGGGTGCCTAATGTGGTAGGCATGAGCTTGAGAAACGAGTTACGAGGTCCCAAACAAAATGTCAACCAATGGTACAGGTAAATTCAAACCACCAAAAACTCTGCATTAATTCTCTGCAACTATTAGTGTTAGGAACAAGACAATAATAAAGGAAAGAATGAAGGAGAGAAAATAAACGACACAAGAATTTTAACGTGGTTCGGCTAAAATATGTATGCCTACGTCCACGACTACACTAGGAAGTATTTTTATTTCTGTGTGTATCTCAAACTTTACATAGGGTTGCTTATATAACAAAATAGAGAACCTCATCTCACAATCCTAATCGATGTGGGACTAAATCAAGCACCATAATACTAACAATTCTCCCACTTGGAGTTTGATTTACGTTACCACCTAGTGTAGTGCCTTCATCATCAATTTGCTCGAAGGCCGGTTGAGGCAATGCAAAGCCTCAACTTAGTTGTTGTAACAGATCTTGGTCAACATATCAGCGGGATTCTCCGCACTGGAATCTTCAACAAACTCAAGTCTCCATCATTTATCGGGTTTCGATAAAATGATACTTCAATTCAATGTGCTTACATCCGGAATGAAGGATTGGATTTTTAGCAAGACAAATAGCACTTTGACTCGTCACTAAACAACGGAGAACCATCTTGTTCTCTTCCTAATTCTTTTAGAAGGTTCTTCAACCATATCATCTCCTTCGCTGCTTCGAGATAGCTACATACTACGCTTCGAGTGGTTGAGAGAGAGACCCTTCCTTGAAGTTTAGACTTCCAACCGATAGCTGTACCACCCAATGTAAAAATATAACCTGTTGTGCTCTTTCTACCGTCAAGATCACCTCCCAAGTCTCGCATCGAGAAAACCCCGTAAAATGAGATTACTTCTCTTGAAAGACAAATGCATCTTTGAAGTGCCTTTCAAATATCCGAATATCCACTTCACTCCTTCCCAATGCTCCTTTCCGGGATTTGATAGAAATCTGCTCACAACTCCCACTGCATGTGCTATGTCTGGTCTGGTGCAAACCATAGCATACATCAAGCTTCCTACTGCAGATGCATATGGCACTTTAGACATGTGACTTTCTTCTTCTTCTGTTTGAGAAGATTGCCTCTTTGAAAACTTTAAGTGAGTTCCCAAAGGTGTATCCCACTCTTGGATTGTGACTTGGCCCACCCGGCCTCTGCCACGGGACAATTGTGCAACCTGCAACAATCTCCCCCTCAACAATTGCCCACCAGGAATCGAACTCGTGACCTTGGCTCTGATACCAATTGTTAGGATCGAGCGCTTACCACTAGGCCAAAAGTTATAGCCATTAGTCAGAGCGCAACTCTTTTTACTTTAACAGCCCAAGCCTCTGATGCCATAAGGAGGAATTGTTGCCAACTTCTGCAACTGATATCATATCCTCATCTGCAATCATGTAGAGAGATCCTTGCTTCTTTCCACGAGCAACAACAATCTCCCCCTCAGCAATTGTCCTACAAGGTATCCCACTCTTGGATTGTGACTTGGCCCACCCGGCCTCTGCCACGGGACAATTGTGCAACCTGCAACAATCTCCCCCTCAACAATTGCCCACCAGGAATCGAACTCGTGACCTTGGCTCGCTCTGATACCAATTGTTAGGATCGAGCGCTTACCACTAGGCCAAAAGCTATAGCCGTTAGTCAGAGCGCAACTCTTTTTACTTTAACAGCCCAAGCGTCACGATTCAATTGTGACTCGGCCCACATGACCTTCGTCACAGGACAATTGATGCTACCTGCAACAATCTCCCCCTCAGCAATTGTCCTACAAGGTATCCCACTCTTGGATTGTGACTTGGCCCACCCGGCCTCTGCCACGGGACAATTGTGCAACCTGCAACAATCTCCCCCTCAACAATTGCCCACCAGGAATCGAACTCGTGACCTTGGCTCTGATACCAATTGTTAGGATCGAGCGCTTACCACTAGGCCAAAAGCTATAGCCATTAGTCAGAGCGCAACTCTTTTTACTTTAACAGCCCAAGCGCCACGATTCAATTGTGACTCGGCCCACCCGACCTTCGTCACGGGACAATTGGTGCTACCTGCAACAATCTCCCCTCGGCAATTGTCCTACAAGGTATCCCACTCTTGGATTGTGACTTGGCCCACCCGGCCTCGCCACGGGACAATTGTGCAACCCGCAACAATCTCCCCCTCAACAATTGCCCACCAGGAATCGAACTCGTGACCTTGGCTCGCTCCGATACCAATTGTTAGGATCGAGCGCTTACCACTAGGCCAAAAGCTATAGCCGTTAGTCGAGCGCAACTCTTTTTACTTTAACGACCCAAGCGCCACGATTCGGTTGTGACTCGGCCCACCCGACCTTCGTCACGGGACAATTGATGCTACCCGCAACAATCTCCCCCTCAGCAATTGTCCTACAAGGTATCCCACTCTTGGATTGTGACTTGGCCCACCCGGCCTCTGCCACGGGACAATTGTGCAACCTGCAACAATCTCCCCCTCAACAATTGCCCACCAGGAATCGAACTCGTGACCTTGGCTCTGATACCAATTGTTAGGAACAAGACAATAATAAAGGAAAGAATGAAGGAGAGAAAATAAACGACACAAGAATTTTAACGTGGTTCGGCTAAAATATGTATGCCTACGTCCACGACTACACTAGGAAGTATTTTTATTTCTGTGTGTATCTCAAACTTTACATAGGGTTGCTTATATAACAAAATAGAGAACTTCATCTCACAATCCTAATCGATGTGGGACTAAATCAAGCATCATAATACTAACAATTAGCAGTCCTCGTAGAGTTGGCAGATGAATGCTTATCACAGAGTGCTCAAGCCAATCATTAAGTGAAAAGTAGAAAGAATGCATTGATTAATTCTTTATTTAAAAATCTTAAAACAATGCTTTTTTTTTCATTAAAATGGAAAACTTTCATTTCTTTTTTAACTATTTGATCAGCATTCTTAATAAGTATCATTAATATATTTTTCATTTTATTTGTTGGGAATCTGAATTCGAATAAAATTGTATTTTAAATTCTTTAACTAGTAACTTTATTTAAAATCAGTGGTTAATATATTAGTGTAATCTCTTATATCCATCAATCACATCTGGATGTTACTTTTATTATAGAAATTAATGATAAATTAAAATATAAAATATTATTAATTATTAGTCAGAAAATAACGACACTTCAATTATGATGTTACATATTTCTGTTTACTAATTTTTAAGAGATTTATGTTTCTATTTAATTAATATTTTTAAATGTAAGACAACATTAATTACTCTTTATGATTTATAACTTTATTATATCTGTCACATCATCTTTAATTAATTTATAAATATTTTATTAAAATAAAAATATTTAATTACATTTCTTAATTTCCCCAAAAGAATCTTAAACTACTCTTAAAAAAATGGAAGGATTGTTATATAAAAGGTAAACTGAATTTAAAGAAAATTATTTCAATTATTATAATTAATTATTATATTACCAAGCTCAAAAAAAAATCTTAATATAAACAAACTTCAATCTATATAAGGGATATTATTATGTATTTGGAAAACCCCCTCGTTCCAAAAAAATGAGGTCAATTAACACTTGAATTATGAATCAAGTAACATGAATCTAGTTTAATTTATATAAAATACATTAGAGAAAAAAAATAGAAAACAAAATATGATAAAACTTTAATTTTGTTGTACTTTATTTTAACCAATCCAAATAAATAAAAAACTAATATCATTCTGATTATGTATAGCTATATGCCAAAAGGAGCAGAAGCAGTGCATGCAGCAAATCCAGATGTTCTTGTGATTCTTTCTGGTCTAAACTTTGACACTGACCTATCATTCATAAAAAAGGGGGCATTGAAACTGAGCTTCAATGGAAAACTGGTGTTGGAGGTGCACTGGTACAGCTTCACTGAGGGTCAAGCATGGACTTCACAGAATGCAAACCAAGTGTGTGGGCAAGTCACAGAAAAGAAGGTGAGAAGAGCAGGGTTCTTGTTGGACCAAGGGTTGCCATTGTTTGTGAGTGAGATTGGGGTGGACATGAGAGGCTCAAATGTCAATGACAATAGGTACCTCAACTGCTTCATGGCATTTGCAGCCCAACATGACTTGGATTGGGCCTGGTGGACACTTGATGGGAGTTACTACATAAAACAAGGGGTCGTTGGAATGAATGAGTATTTTGGTATTCTCAACTCGAATTGGAGTGAGGTTAGGAACACTACTGTCTTGCAGAGGATCTCAGCTATTCAACTTCCTTTTCAAGGTATGTCAGAATCAAGTCCTGTTAATAAATTGAAGATCTCAACTTTATACAAGGCAAAGATTGATTGAGATTGTTAATAAGTTTTCATGTGACAGTATATTTGTGTTGACATATTTCAGGGCCAGGTTTATCAGAAGCTACACCACACAAAGTGGTTTTTCACCCCTTGACAGGTCTTTGCATCCTAAGAAAGTCACCGGTGGAGGCGTTGAGGTTGGGACCTTGTTCTAATTCTGATGGATGGGAATACACAGACCAAAACATACTATCAATAAAGGGTACCAATTTCTGTTTACAAGCAGAGGGAGAAGGGAAGCAAGCAAAAATTGGGAACTTATGTTCAGCTTCCAATTCAAGATGGGAAATGATCTCTGATTCAAAGATGCATCTCTCAAGTCAAATCAACAACTCTTCTGGTGTGTGTCTTGATGTAGACACCAATAACATCATTGTCACCAACACTTGCAAATGTCTAAGCAAAGATAACACTTGTGAACCTGCAAGCCAATGGTTCAAACTTGTTGACAGCACAAGGAATTAAGTCACCCTCAACATTATTATATTTGTACTCTGTTTGTTGAGCTTCTTGCAAATCAAGTTTGTAGAAATTAGCCATTGAGCTCAAGGGCTCAACACAAAAAGGTTGAGCTTAATCCCAAACAATCTATCTACAACAACAAATATTAATATTATATTAAATATTACTATTATTATTATTATTATTATTATTATTATTATTATTATTATTATTATTATTATATTAATTTAACTGGCTGTTTAATAGATGTTTATAGAAAAAGGGGTTGCCAAACTAGATTTTGCCATTCTTTGATTGGGTATCTCTCCTTAATAGCCAAGTCGTCAAAAAATATTTAGTTCTTGTGCTTTGCAGGAAGATTGATATGCAAGCAAAATTCATGCACAAAGGGCAACTGAACCAGGAAAGAATGTTATAGTTTTATTGAATCAGAAAAAATAATGAAATGTACAAAACAAAACTTGATAGAGCTATTTACATGGAATTCAAAAGGTGCCAAAAGAATGGAGTATACACTAATTTGCTCGTGGTAAAGATGATAGTGTGACATGACATCACATGGAATGGAAATCCATGACAAATACAAAACCCAAACACAAGAAAAGTTGGAACGTAGAATCAAGATTCAAAGCAAAGGAATTGCTCAACGAGGAGTGGAACTGGCGCTGCACTCACAAGAAGAAGGATCAAAAACAGCAACACACCAAGCCTAATCTTGTGCACCAAGGCACTGTAAACATCACACGATGCAAGAAACGATGGTGCAACATTGGTGGCACCATAGGAACTACAAAGTTCAAACTTCACCTGACCACAATGACCTTGCAGCTTGTCCCTCTCAACATCAACGCTGAACCACAAGTCCAAGTACGCAAAACCACACGATGATGCTCCAACAGAACCACCCCATTCATCAATTGCCAAAGACACATTGTGAAACTTGGCTTGTAGTGTTGTTGGTAGTGTGTCTTGTTGGAGAGAGAAACTCGAGAGTCTCTGTCGGCGGTGGAAGAGTGAGGCATTGAAAGAAGCGTAGTTGATGGTGCCACCTAAAGAGTTGGTGTTGTCCACGAAGAAACTCACACCCAAGTTGGCTGTGAAGTCGCTTTGGGGTGTGGCTTTGAGAACGGAAGTGGAGGCTGAGTGGAGAGTGAAGGAAGGGGTGAGGGGAATGAAGAACAAGGCTATTGAAAAGGTGATGAACAAGATCATCCATTCGCCAAGAAATGCAAAGAAAGTAGTGGCAGCAGCGTAGGTGCTTTTGGACGTGAAATCGTCAAGAGGGTAGTATAAAGGTGACTCATTTTTCTGATCCTCCATGGCAGAAAGATCTGGTGCAAGAACCAAAAAATAATTGCACACAGAAGTTCTCAGAATGCAAGATGAATGAAGATATAGGCACTAAACTGTTAGAAATATAAGAAATTTAAAATATTTAAATATCCCAGAAATATTTTAGAACTAACTTTTATTTCATATTTTTATTTGTTTCCTTATATATTTTTCATATTATTTATTACTATCGCTAATACAAAATGGATTTATATACATACACACAAATTTCATCTATTTTTCTTGTTTTTACCATAAATTCTTAATATTTTTTTAATATTTTCATGCATTTTTTTCTAATAAATGTATTAAGAATAAATTTTACTTATCATAATGTGATAATATGACTATTAGTAACTTGATGAGTTTTAAAAAAAAAAAATTAAGTCGAAGTAATTCACTTGTAAAGCAATAATTATCACATCTTTACATCTAATATATATTCAATGATAACTTAAAATTTTACATATGCAAAGTTCATTAGTTTTCCAAATTCTAACTTCGTAATGCTGGAAGTTATATATATAATAAAAAGTAGTGTTTAATACTCTGTTGTACTTCAAAATTTGTATAACATTTTTTATGTCAAAATTAAAAAATAAAACTTTAAAAAATGTATATTTATTGCTATTCAATCATATGATAGATACAAATTAGTTTAAAGAATTAAAATTATTTATGGGATCATCCGTTATCATTCAACATAATCTTAACCTTCAACTGTTTAGGGTTTCAACTATGTTTTTTTTTTTTTTTAGCGTTTCAACTATAATTATTCCCTTTCCCAATATTGATCCACAGAATATACTTGCCCTAACATTTCAATCTTAATAATAATACCTACATTTTACCATATGATATTCAGAATTCTTTCCCTAAACATAACAAATTCAGAATTGTTTGACATCCACGTATAAAAGAAGAAAATGAAATTCCTCTTTGTTAATCTCTCTTATTACAATTTGTTATTCCTTCACAGAGGTTCATACACCCAACATTGTATAGAATGTAATATCTTAAAAAATGATTCCTTACCTTGGTTCATTTATCATATGCTTTTCCTTCCCTTTAATTTACGATTTTTTTTTTTTTCATTGGAATCTCACATCAGTTTGAGTAGGTGTATTGCTTTATTCCTATAAGGCTTTTGTATTTTGTCTCTTCCCTTTAATTTTGAATCATTTTGAGAAAGAGCAAAAGATGTTATGTCTTTTTTATGTGTATGGGATATACAAAGTGTAGGTTCCAAGAAAATTCTACTACCCCTTCTCTTTATTTGTAAGATCCAATGCCATTGAAGAAGAAATGAAGATAAATTTGATGCACATCTCAAAATATTGAACTTGCTTGGTTCCTCTTAAGGCATATCCTTAATTAGTTCCTTCAGAATGCATTTTTAGAACAGAAAACTTGTTTTTTTACAGATTACAATTCAAGTGCAAATTAGATCCACCGACTGAATAGTTGGCAACTCCAATCTATTCCAGAGTGTAGCAGTAGCAATGGCTCTTCACTGTTGTCGAAATTTCTAACTACAGTACTTTTATTAATGAACATCAACGCATATGGCATAATAATTAATGAAACCATCTAACAGCCTTAAATCATATGCCACAGACAACCTCTGACAACTCTTTACTCATAAATGTTTCAACACTAAAACACTGTGCAAGTCTCTAGTTATATCAACTTCATACAACTCAATATCATCGTTTCCGAATCTTTCAACCTTACATTATTCAAACATTAATTTTCTAGGAAAAAAAGAATAAAAATGGCTGTGTTTGTCTTTTGTTTAGTTTTATTTCATCTTCATTCTTTTGGTGCAATAAAACATAACCCTCTTCTACTAATCATCATAAAACAAGTGTTTATTCTCTCCCATTCATTATTTCTCATCCATTTTATTTCTATATATCTTATTTCTTTTTCTACTAGATATGTGATAAAATCGTCTAAACCTTCCTTCAATATACCAAATTTTCCTTTATAAGTAATTATTGTATAGAAAGAGTAATAATGGTTAAACATTATGAGTCTCTTCGTTACAACTTTTCTCATCAACGAATAGAGGAACTATTCCATCTGTTTTTAGCTTTTTTTAACATTTATAAACTAAAAATGTAAAATTTGATTAACTCATCATTTATTTCGAGTCTTCTTAAAAACTATTTTAAAATACTTTTATTATTACAACTTTTAATTTATTTAAAATCTTTAAATATAAATTATTTTGCACTGAAATTATTTCTTTTTAATACATATATTACAACCCTAATGTTGTTGGTCCATTATCACTCAAAATTACTCATAAACAAAACATAGACATAAATATTATAAATACGGAATTTCTTTTTTAGATCTATAGATAGCATTTGTATAAAAAAAAATCATGAAAATATCATTCTAAAAAAAAAAATTATGTTCTTCACTCTTCTCTGGCAAAGTAGGTTTTCACCAAATATTTATTGCATCAAACTATTGTCTCTCTCTAAATCGCCATTGCAGAGTGTACACATTAAGCAACACGTACATTTTGCATTATTATTACTATTGTTATAATTCACCTTTGCATTGCACACATTCTCCTCCAACCCATTATTCCTCCAAGTAATTCTCCAACCACCACCATGTCCCCCAAGGACTGCGGCCACCACGAATCCTCCCACCGCCGTCTCCTCCGCCTCATCCTTACCGGCGCCGCAGCCTTCATCGTCCTCGTCCTCGTCGTGATCTTCCTCATATGGGTAATCCTCCGCCCCACCAAGCCCCGCTTCACGCTCCAAGACGCCACCCTCTACACGTTCAACCTCTCCTCCCCCATCCCCAACACCCTCTCCCTCACTATGCAGGTCACTCTCTCCGCCCACAACCCCAACGCGCGCATCGGCGTCTACTACCACGCGCTCCGCCTCCACGCCTCCTACCACAGCCAGCAGATCTCACTCTCCACCGCCCTCCCCGACACCTACCAGGGCCACCGCGACTTCACCGTCTGGTCGCCCTTCCTCTACGGTATCGCCGTCCCCGTCGCGCCGTTTGTTCTCACTTCCCTGCAGCAGGACCACGATGCCGGCACCGTTATGGTCAACGTTAAGGTCAACGGGAGAGTCAAGTGGAAGGTCGGAACTTGGGTATCTGGAAGGTACCACATTTATGTTAACTGTCCCGCGTATATTAGCTTCGCCGGAGATCGGAGTAATGCCGTAGGAGTAAAGTTTCGCCTCTTGCAAAGTTGCAGTGTTGATGTGTAGACTAAGTTTTCAGGTTTTTCTCTGCTGCTTCGACCATCTTGAGTGTTCATCTTTTTTTTTTTCTTTTTTTTTCTCTTCTCTTTGTTCTTAGTTTTGAATTTAATTTTTTTAGGAGTTATTACTTGGATAAAGTCGACTTGAGTTTTTATATATGAAATAATTATTCTGTTTCCCACGTCAAGTTTCACCATTCTGTTTTTTTTTTTAACTGTCAAAAAGACATAAAAAAAATCACGTATAATGCATGTTTACATTTTTGGTCAATTTTTACAGGATACAGACACAAGTTTTTCTATCTATAAGAGTTTCATGAAGATGGTTTAATAAATTTGAGAATGAAAAAGGGAAGATTGGAGATGAATGAATGTTGAATTTGTGGGTGTTCTATAAGTGTGGGGACTTGTTTAATTAATGTTGGAGCTTTAGTTTTAAATTCTAACACTAAATGAGAGAATCCAGTATTTTTTTTAGGAAATACAACCTATCTTTTTGTGATTTCCACGAGTCAATAAATTAAGATGTATATTTTCTGATTTTAAATAGACTAATAAAAAATAATTGTTAAGTGACAAATAAGATCTTAGCATACATTGTTTGTATATGCAGTTGACCATGGTTCTTGGTCTTGGATGGAGATCGCATCTCGGATCCTTTGCTTCTACGATTTTGTTTGTTTTATTGTCTGAATCCGAGTTTTCTATTGACAAGAGATTAGAATTTCGTTGAAAATAAAAACAAGGGGCACTCATTTTTCTGACATTTAATTGTACTTTGAATTTGTTTCATCAATGTTTCCTTGGCTTTAGGATCATGTCCTCTGTTTACGCAACACACGTAACAAATTATCACATGCATTACTGCTTACTTTTTTTATTTTTTTTACTAATAGAAAGTATAGATGTAATATATCCATTTCCATCGTTTACATTAGAATTCACTTCACGATCTTAGTTTTTAGAAAAACAAATATGATTTTTTTTTCCTTTGGCGGGACCACGTATGCATGTGGAAATAAAATAATGGTTGGGTCTCCATTGAAAAAAAAAAGTGTTAAAATGGACAATTTCTTTTTTGATAGATTTTTTTAAAATTTATTGGATTATGTATATATATATATATATATATATATATATATATATATATATATATATATATATATATATATATATTGATGGTGGTTTGCTTCAACTTTATGAAAAGTAAGTTGAAGAGAGAATCTAAAAGGGAAGATGAATTAACTGGTTCCACCAACTTTCCACTTACCTTAAGGTGGAGGTTGGAAGTTTGAAGCATTCTCCATTGCCTTTAAATGCATGATCATTTATGCATCATCTACCCTCCCTCCTTTCATCTTTCTCTTACTTCCATCTTTGATCAACCATCTATCTAATCCAGGTTTCACTTAATGTTTACGTTCTCATATTTTTCTACATTAATAGTTAAGAATGACAAAATAAATCCATTTATTTTATTTTAACCTATTTTGTGTTTGACCTATAAAAAATAAGGTGGTATTGGCTGACCCATTATAATTGTGATTGACGGTAAATCTTGATTCGTCCTGTCAAATAATAGATTAACTAACGAATTGATCTGTCATAATTTAAACAAAAAATTATTTCTTTTAAATTAAATATTTTAATAAGATTATTATTTATTTCTCAGTAATTCAATATATATATTTCAAATTAATACATTATTTTAAGAAATTATAATTTAGAATAATAATAAAATTTATATAATAATAAATAATAACAAATATATATAAATAACGACAAAGTTTATAAAATTTATATTTTTTATATTAAAAAATTCAAATACTTATATTTGATAAAACTTCACATTGTTATCTCCTTGAGTAATTTTTACATCTTTAATTCAAGTAATAAGGATAAAAACAATTAGGATAAACAAGGAAGAGATGATGAACTACAAGGAGAAGTGGAGAGATGAACTTGTGTTTGAGTAAGAAGAATGTTTCCTATAACAAGTGAGAGTGAAACTTTTTTAATTCTTTTTTTACATTTTTAACTTTATATATTGTCTTTACGATTAACTATATTACAATAAACAATTATACTTTTATTAATTAGGCGGGATGTGGTTAGCCCGCCTCATCCCCGCGGGGCTTGGCGAGGAGGGTCAAAGCGGGGGAACTGAAGATATCAACTTGTCCTGTCATATTATAACAAACTAGCAAGCGGGTCCAGTCGGATCCGACCCATTTTGTCATCCCTAAATATAATGTATTCTTATTTTATATCATATAAAGTGTATTAAATGTAAAGGTGAATATATTTAATATTTATTTGATAAGTTGGAAAATTTATTGAAATAGTTAGAATTATGAAATATTATGTTTCAACAAGTTCAACCTTTTATTTACTCTTTCTCTCTTTAATTTAATATTAATATTTAGGAGAGTTCCAATACATGATAAAACAAGTTAGATCTCGTGAGTTATTGTGCTCGTCTAAAAAATGATAGAGTAGGTTAATAATTTTAGTCCATCAACCCGTTTTTATCCGTCTCACCTAGTCCGCTAACTCGGCAAGTTAAGAGTAGGACCAGACATAATGATGGATCTAAGACTTTAAGTCAGTGGGGACAATTTACTTTTCAAATAATATAAGATTAGTGAAACTTTCTCTACCAAGTGATGTATTTGTATACTTTCAACTACACACGTGTCTATCACAGATCAACAATTAACGAGTTCAATATATAATATTAGGGGGATAAAATAAAAAAATTCCATATGCTTAATAATAATTTTAACAAGTGTTATACATATACACTCTCATATATATATATATATATATATATATATATATATATATATATATATATATATATATATATATATATATATATATACTAATGGCTAAGTGGTAAACTGGTCCAATTTGAAAAAATATTTATATATTAAAATTAAAATTAAAAGAATTATAATTAAAAATATTATATTTTTATATTATATTATTAAAATATATAATAGGTGGTGGTTAAAATCTGTAACTTGTTCTTATGTTTTGTCCTATTTTTTTTAACTAGAAATGAGACAAAGCCAAAATTATAGGTTATCTGTTTTTAAATCCTAATTATTAGACGTAATAAATTATACAATAGAATCTTAATATCATTGATACACATAAATATGAATAATCATACCTTGAGCAGGTGATATAGACCCAAAAAATATTTTAATGTAAAATTAGTTTGAGAAAACTATAAATGAGGAAAATTCGAAACCTTATTCAAAATTTTCTTCATAAAAATCGGGATAGAAGAGGGATTGGATGTGTATCCTCGAGTTTAGATAAAATTATCTCTAGTACCACATAAAGAAGATGATGGTTAATGTTAATGATTCACATGAATTGTTTATAGAAAAAATATTATTTGAAATTTCAATTATATAGTTTATTAATTTGTACTTTATTGATATATATATATATATATATATATATATATATATATATATATATTAAATATGATGAACTCCTTTTTTTGGTAATAGAGTTTCTTGATGAACTCCTTTTTTTAGTGAAAAATCGTAACAAGCAATTTTTTCAATGGTTAATGTTGAAAAATAACGACTGAAAAATTGTTTGTATGAGTAAATCAAAGTTGGTTTGGAAAAGAAACATATTTTCATTCCTTGTTTCCTAATATTTTAAAATAAATATTAGGAGAAAATGGTAAAAATTAAAAAGGTCGAGCTCCTAAAATGAAATTGGGCTTTATCTAAAGTCCGACTAATTATTTTTTTTATTGTTTTTAAAATAGTTTTTAATTTTATAATTTTAAAAAATGAATTTTATTTAAAAACTTTGTTTTTTCATTAATTGATATCCTATTTTTAATAATAATTATATTAAATAATTTATCTTCATAAATTTATAAAAATTATTTTTTAGCGATTTTTTATGATTATTTATAAGATTCTCTTTCTTTCAATTAGTTTTTAAAAATAGAGTTATTAAATATATATATATATATATATATATATATATATATTTTTTTAAATCCATCTTTAAAATTATTTTTAAAAATTGAAACCAAATCAAACATTTCTTTAATAATTTTTAGTTATTATATAATTGGTAATAATTATTTTATCTATAAAAAGCTAGTTAATAATCTAATAAATAAGTATGTTGCCTTATATAATTAATTATTTACAAGATTTTCAAATTGAAAATATTTTTCCAATTAAAATAATCATTACATAATATTAAAAATCTTTCTAAACCAGGAAAAAAGAAGTTTCCGTTGGTTCTTTTATAGTCCAATAAGGATATTTTCATCTTTTTATGCAAAATGTTAGAAAAACCCAACAATTGTATTTAACTATTCTAGGCATATTTATATCTTATAATAATAATAATAATAATAATAATAATAATAATAATAATAATAATAATAATAATAATAATAATTATTATTATTATTATTATTATTATTATTATTATTATTATTATTATTATGTCTTCATGGCATAAAACGTTAGTTTATATCCAACAAATATTATTAGAGAGTTGGGATCAAGATACCTTGTGTTTGATCATGTGATTGAAGAATTCCATTGATTTTTTTTTTGTAATTATAATATTAAATATTTTTTTCGTAAAGAATGATCAAATTCGTAAAATTTTATTTTGGTCAAATAATGATTTCCCATAATAATTTAAAATTTGGACAAAATTGACTTTTTGTTGTCCTTAAGTAAGAAAGTAAGTTTTCTTCGAAAGAAAAAAAAATCACTGATTTTCCGACTAAAAATTCGTCGTAATGCATTTTATTCTTACTTATACTAATTGGTTAAATAATTACACACATGGCCATATTTTTAAGTAAACATGACTTGTATATTATAGTTATTAGAGATTAAGTTATTTTTTTAGTTATAATCTTTATATGTTTATAATGTTATTAAAAATAAATACAATAAATTAATTTATAATTAAAATTTATATTTTACTTCTATATTATAATTTTATTTGAAAGATTAAATAGATGGAACATGAAATTAAATATTTTGAAAATTTTTATATATTTTCTCAAAGAAAAGATATAAGTTATTTTAATATATTCTCTCATCTTAAGAATATGAGTGATACGTTTATACAATTTTGACTAAAAATATTTATTTAATTATTACATATTTATATATTTATTTAGTATTGATCAAATTATTTACAATTTTTTAATTCTTTTTCTCATTTTAAAAAATATTTTTTTTTACTTCTCCAATTTCCATTTCTCATTAGAGAAAACATTATCTTAAATATTTAGATGGACGAAGAAAAATAAAAAATATTGATTTCGATTATAAGGTCTAAATTAATAATAAATAATTAAAAAATAAAATGATAAAATGATGATTTTTTTTTGGCGAAGTATTGGATGAAAACATTTTTTTCTATTTTCATGTATTTATTATTATATTCTTACTCTATTTTGTTTTTCCTTTAAACCAAATTATTTTAAAAAAAAAAGTTTCTATTAAGGAATCTAAATATGCTTTCCTTCACGCTTTTCGACTCTTCGGAATCTGTGGAATAAATATGGCGATGTTACTTCTTTCGTTTCTTTCTTTTTTTCCCATCAACACATTATAAGATAGCATCGCGAGATTTACTTTTTTGTCCTCTAGTGTTTCAACGCAATGAAAGTGTTTACGTAATTTTACTAATGCATTTTTTAAAAATGAATAGTTCTAAATTTTTATTCTTTAAATTGCTAGTGTAATTACTAAGAGTAAATTATAATTAAATCTTATAAGCTTATTTTTCTTGAAATTATATATAATTCTTCTTTTCACATTTAAAACAATTTATTTTATAGTAATATATATATATATATATATATATATATATATATATATATATATATATATATATATATATATACACACACGCTTTCAAACAATTAAAAAAGTCAGTATAATATAAGAGAATTATAGATATGACGATTTGTCCACAATGGTTGATTCAAAAGTAAAAACAACAAAAAATTTAAGAAACTTTATAAACGGTTATTTCCCAGGATATTTATGCAAATTAATATTATAAATGATATATTTTAAAATAATAATTATTCAAATAAATTTTTATTAATTAATTTATTTAAATACATCTAGTTATTATTTATATATAATTCTTTTCTTTCTATATATATATATATATATATATTTTTTTTCTCTCTTCTAGTTTGTTTATTTTCTCTTTAACTAACTTTTTCTCTCTCTTCATCCACCTATTTTTTTTCAATCAAAACTCTTAAATTAAAATTTAATAAAAATATATTAAAATAAATTTGTAAAATCAATAAAATTAAAAAAATATCAAATATTATTTAAAATTACTGACAGTAAGTAATTTTATTCATCATGATAATAAATAATTTTATTTTTAATTATATATAATTAATTTAAAATTATTTTATTATAATAAAATAATTAATTATTTAATTAAAAATATTTACTATTTATAAATTAAATGTATTTTTTATTTAATAATTTAATTTAATTTAATTATAATTAAATTAAGTAATGATGATTAATCATAATAGATAATAAAAAAATATTAAATTAATTTAAAATGAATATTTATTTTTTTCTTAATAATTATAATGTAATAATAATAATATTTGTAATATTTTAAATTTATTATATGATATTTTTTATAAATATAATATTAAGTTATAATATTTTTGGATAATATAAATATTTTTACTATTTTAAAATAAGAAAAGATTTATTTTATAAAATTTTAATATAGTATTTTTAATTAAAAACTAAGATAGAGTGAAAAAAAAAGAAAAAATATATTATAAATTTATATTATTAATTAGATTCATTCATATTTATAGTTTATAGTATTTTATTTTTTGCGAACATAGTATAAGATAAACGAGTATCTTCAATGACAATTACTGTTTAAAATTATTTAAGAATAAAAATAAATACTCAAAATTATTTAAGAATAAAAATAAATATTGAACTCATTAATATTTATATTTATTTTCAAATACTCTTAGTGTGAAAACTTTGATGGAGATGCCCATTATTCGTACAACTTTTACTTTAATCTCAGTTTTGAAAAGACCTTGTCACCCTTCCCCTGTCTCTTCATTTTCTTTCCTTCTTCGCTAAGTCTTTGCTCCTAACTTCCATCCCACTGCTGCAAAGGTATGAGTTAAGCTATTCAACGATCAGAAAGCACCGGGAAATTATTAGCTATGGGTGTGCCCTCGTTCTATAGATGGTTGACGGACAAATATCCCAGGGCGGTGCAAGATGTAGACCACGCCATGCGAGACCCAAATGGAGTGAAATATGATAACTTGTATCTTGACATGAATTCCATCATCCACCCTTGCTTTCACCCTGATAATGATCATGGCAATGTTCGTTAATCTTGTTCATGTGCTTCTCATTCTTCCTTTCATTTGTTCTTGCGCTGTTTATTTTTCACTTAATGTGTATTTAAGCTTAAGCTGGTTTATTTTCTTGATGAAGTTTGTGTTGTCATTTAGATTCCATTTCCAACATCATTTCAAGATGTCTTCAGAAATATGTTTGACTACATTGATCGACTTGTTGACATTGTTAGGCCTCGCAAGCTCCTATACATGGCTATTGGTGAGATACAAGGCTTTCACTAATTAACTCATCAATAACCCACTTGAAACTTGTTTATTTTCTTGCCTTAGCAACTGCATTTTGTCATTGAAACTGTATCAGCACAAACATTTCTGTTTAGAAGTGTCAAGCTGACACCTTCACATGAATGCATACATGCTAATATTATTATGAAATTTTTACCTTTTTAACATTCAAGAAAGTCAATTAAAATATAACATTAAATACTAAAAATAATGTTTCTCACCCTTTCTTTGTGGGGCTTTTTTTTTTCTTGAAAAAGGAAAGGTACAAGAAGGGGCATGCATATACCTGTTTTTAGAAGTATATCTTCATTTTTATTTTATAATTTTTTGCTAGGAGGTCAAGGGGTGTTTTGGGTTCTAAAATTATGTGTCTTTTATATTCTTTTCATTGGTCTCTCTTTATCTCTTTAAATGTCTTTGCAATGTTGTGATGTCCTATATTGTAGATGCAAGTCATGTTAGAGTGGTTGTGCTTGGTAGGTTTTGTTTTGGCTCTCTTGTTCCATATATGTTCATCACTAGTAGTAGTTACGTGCAGCGAATATTGCACATTGATTGGCTTAAAGAACTTGCCCCAACTATGCAGAGCTAGTTAGTGTTTCAGTATCCTTGCTTGTCTTTTAATGAATAGTTCAACTAATTAGGCTCTGTGTTTCTCATGCATAGATGGGGTTGCTCCACGTGCCAAAATGAACCAGCAGCGATCAAGACGTTTTAGATCTGCTAAGGACAATGAAATTCATGTGGGTTATTCATCAATTCTTATTATCACGGAATAATTAAGGCCTTCATTGTTTCTTTTAAATTTATTTCTCTTGTAGATGTATGTGTAGGAAGCTGAGGAAGAGGGGCTAAGGAAAAAATATGAAATGGAAGGGAAACAAGTTCTTCCTAAACAAGAATCGGAAGTGGCAGATTCCAATATTATAACACCAGGCACTGTATTCATGCATGAACTCTCTAAGGCACTTAAAAGCTACATCTCTTCAAGGATAATTTCTAACGCACTATGGAAGGATATCATGGTATGTCATGCATCGTCCACATTCCATAATGTGCTACCACCACTAAGAATGTTTCACTCACCCATGGTTAATGTTTTAAATCATTGCTATTGTCTTCTTTTATATGAAGCTAAATTTTGTTGTTTATTACCTTGTTAATTTGAACTTAGGTAATTCTCTCTGATGCTAGTGTTCCCGGAGAAGGGGAACATAAAATTATGTCATACGTACGCAAACAGCGTAGTCTGGAGGGATATGATCCAAATACAAGCCACTGCTTGTACGGCTCGGTAAGTAAATCATAGTAAAAGTTGTCTTCACAAAGTAATTGTTTCTTCTGATGTTCAGTATAAAGAGAGGATTTTGCATTTGGAATGCAGGATGCTGATCTTATAATGCTTGCAATGGCAACTCATGAACCCCATTTTTCAATATTAAGAGAGGTGATGTTGCAAGAGACATATATACATACATAAATACATACATACATATATATATTGTATGTGATGTCAATTTTAATTTATACTATCTTTAATTACAGACTATTACGCATGATACATTCGTTAGTTTCATTTAAAACTATCTTGAGAGCTATGTCAACAATGATTTCTTATTGGTTGACCAATCATAATGAAGGAAAATTAAGCTCTTGAAGATTTACTATTTTACTTTTCTATACATAATAATTCCTCACATTCTAGGCATGTAAACAGGATGTCTCTGTTCAGCAGCAGCCAAAAGTTTCTGTTAATCCTTTCAAGGTATAATAACTGATTTACATTCTTCAACTACAACTTTGTTATTTATATAATCATGAGTCGTATGAATTTATCTGTCTGCAGTTTTTGCACATTTGGTTATTGAGGGAGTATCTTGAGTTAGACATGAATATAGAAAATCCTCCCCAAAAATGTAGCAATGATTTTGAGCGGATAATTGATGATTTCATCTTCATGTGCTGTTTTGCTGGAAACGATTTTCTTCCCCGCATGCCATCTTTGAACATGCACGAGGTTTGTTGAAAATCTTTTGTTAGATATGGTAAGTATGAAGTATTAATGCATCATGCATGGTCATCTGTATCATTACATTTTTTGCTGAATTTTTGCAGGGGGCTATTGATTTGCTAATAACTGTTTACAGGAAAGAATTCAATACACTTGGAGGATATCTTGTGGACATGAGCAGGGTAACACTGTTACTGTCTCATTCCTTCATTTGTTTGTTCATATCTTCTATATTTTTTCTGTTTCCCCCTATATTCCATTAATCTATTTTATGAACAATCCTTGTATACGTATGATATGAAAGCAGGTTGGGGAGAAAAATGCTGCTTTTGTGAAATTATCAAGAGTTGAAAAATTTATACTTAAGGTTGGCTCATATGAAGAGGATATCTTTAAGAAAAGATCTGAAATACGAGAACGAACATTGAAAAGGCTTATTCAAGATAGTGAGGATGCTGTAAGTTGCATATATTTGAAAATTGTACATGTCCAGTCACATCTTACAGCAAATTTGGACTCGTGTTTCCCTGATTTTTCATGCAGAAGCGCGAAGAAAATAATACAAAATGTTTCTTGGATCTTGACGATGAAAATACTTCTGATTGTACTCTTCTGATTAGGAAGGCACCAGATTCAATGAAATTGTCTGCTACACATGCTGAAGTATGTTGTTGTTTTGTAAATCATGAGTCTCTGTCTTCATTTATACAATTTTGTTGACAACTTTGATGAATATTTACAGCAACATGTATTGATGGAGTGCAACGATGTTGAATTGTTTATATTCTTTTTTCTCCTCATTATCAGATTGAGCAAAACACACAGGATTTAAAAGATGAATTGAAGAGAAGTATTAGAAAAAAATGTGACTTATTTAGGAGTGGAGATTTCCTAATCGACAAGGTATGTATTATGAATTAAATTACAGATTTACATTATTAGTAAATGTTGTTACCTTTCATTTCAGATAAAATTTGGAGCACCTGGTTACAAAGAAAGATATTATAAAACAAAGTTTTCTGTGGAAAGTCCTACTGACATTGAGGCGAAAAGGAAAGAAATAGTAAGTGTTTCCTCAAACAACTTTGCCAACTGTTGTCTTTTTGAATTTGGAAAACTTTTGTTCTTTTCCCTTCTCAAATAAATTGCACTAGCAGGGTTCCTTTTGCTAGTCAACTTTCAATAGTGGTGGTGATAGATTGCAATTTAATTGTAGGTCCAGAAGTACACCGAAGGATTGGTGTGGGTTCTTCGATACTATTTTTCAGCAGTTGCTTCGTGGACATGGTAAGCCAACATGGTTGAATATATAACTTGAATTTTATTGTGCAATACATAATACAAGTATGGAATATACAGGTTTTATCCATTCCACTATGGTCCATTTGCTTCGGACTTTAAGGGCATGGGTCAAGTTAGAGTAAATTTTGAAAAAGGTGCCCCATTCTTACCAATTGATCAACTTCTAGGTGTCCTCCCCCCGGCAAGGTAATTCCTTATGTTATCCTATTTGCTAACCATTTGATAGTTGATACCATAAACTTTAAACCTAACATGTATTTCCTTTACCATAATAATATCTAATTTTACTCCTGTTCAGTGCTCATGCACTTCCAAAAGCCTATGCACAACTGATGCTGGATGAGCAATCTAGAATATTTGACTTTTATCCAAAGGGTAAGCCAGCTTATCTTGTTTGCTTTGTATTGTTTTATCCTGTTCAGTGCTCTTGCACTTCCAATTGAAGCATTTTATTCAATTTTTTACTATGTACTTGTTTTCTAGTTCTTATTTTTTTTTCCTTGTTTTGTAAGATTTTGAAGTTGAAACCGAAGGACAGCGCTTCATGTGGCAGGTTATTCCACTCATGTTCCTTGTGTTAATAAGTATTGTTTTTGTTCATGCAGTATAATAAATAATGATGGAAACAAATGTTGTGTCTTTTGTCTAGGGAATTTGCAAGCTTCCATGGATAGATGATGGCAGGCTTGTGGCTGAAACCAAAAAAATAAAAAATGAATTATCTGTATGAATTTCTTACTACCATTTTACACTTCAATTGTTAATGATTTATCCTCAAAATCTCCAATTATGTTTTGTAGGAAAATGAAGCCATAAGAAATTCACTCAAAGCCGATAGCTTGTTTGTTAGAAGCTCTAGCAAATTAGCAGAGAAATTTGGCTCACTGTCTATAGACCCAAACGTGCCTTGCAAGTTGGACACAACAATAAGGTTGGCCAACACCTCACTAACACAAAATCACGATTAACCTACTAAATTTCTAGTAAATTTGAGTCAATTGTAGTGTCTTAAAGTTTCTCTGATAACTTATCCTGTCGTAGGCTTGTTTCTTCTTTGATGGCAGCAACTTTTTTGTGTTGGAAATAATGCATAGGTCAATGTTTCCTTTGTTTTGTGCTCTTGGTACTTTTTGCAGTGAAGGCATTGGGGGTACCGTAAGTCTTTGCCGTGAGTTTGTTGACAATACTTGCTTGGACATTTGTGACAGCAAAGAAGATCGTGTTTTGTATGCTATTCAAAATTTGAATATAGTTTTCATTTTCTTAATTGCATTCAACTTGAGTCAACTTCCAATAACTGTGACATCGTTTATGTTTCAGATGTGTAGATTACGAGCTTCCTGCTGGTAGTAATCATATTCCTCGTTTACTATCGGGTGTGAACCTTCCAGAGAAGGTAAAACTCAGTTTCTTTTTCCAAAAGCTTCCTTTTCTGATAAATAAAAAGTATGTACATTGGCTAACATAGTCCGAGATTTTTGCAGACAGTATTTGAAGGTGACATCATGGAAACTGTATTGTGGCATGAACGTCAGAAATATTTTAGTCGTTTTGAGAGGTACTCTTCTTTCCTTCTACTTTAGAGCAATGTGGTAGGAAGCATATTTTTGTTTCTTATAAATGTTTACAAGCATGTTTGGTTTCATATCTCATTTTTTTCATGTTCACGAGAGTTATATATAACCTTCACATCTCAGACAAAATTTCTTGTATTGTACGGGTTTCAAAACACATTTAATTGGCCAACTTGATAACTCAGGGTGCAAGATCAAGATAAATGGAGGAGTGAAAACAGGAACAATAATTCAAGGTTTTCCTCAAATGAAAGAAGCTTTTCATCTAATGCAAGAAACTTTTCATCAAATGCACCTTCCTTCATTCACAAAGGTGCTGGTTGTGTTGGATGGGGTTCAGGTAGAGGGAGAATAGATGAAACAATGAAAAATGAGACACCACACAATTATGCAAGCTCTTATCATGTCACAACTACCAGAGACACCCCAGCACAACACGTTGTGGACGACTTTAGACAATTGAGAATATCAGAGTCTGGTTCCTTTCCAAGGTCTTCTATCAGTTTTCAGTCACGACCATATAATAGTAATAGTAATAATGGTCCCATGAATCAGTCAAAAAATGCTTATAATCATCAAGCTTCACAATCTGAGAAGCCCTTTGGTCGGGGACAAGGTAGGGGTGCATCTAGTAGCAGGTCATTCTGGCCTCAACCGTCTGGTGGAAAATCTCACCAAGTGAAAGATGACAATCGTTGGTAGAGTGTTACCTACATGATCTTGATGGTGGGGGGCTAAAGTCTTTTCTTTTTTATTTTGAAAATATCAAAGATTGCTGGTACACTTTATTTCTTGTATGTTGTTCAAAAGGGTGTAGTATTTTTGTATGTCATATTCATGACTCTTTTAACAACAATGACCCTGTGCATGGTGATATGATCAACTTTTGCTCCTTTTTATGGTTACTTCATTCTTCTTCTCTCTTTTGTGTAATGATGCTTGTTCCATCTGTCTTGAGCTATGCTAGCATCTTGGCAATTTCTCAGTAATAACTAGATTTTCGATTTTGCTTTATCTTTTATTATCATTCAATTTATGTGGTATAAAAATGACTTGCACTTTAGTACTGTTTAATATAAGTTGTAGTACTTTAAATTCTTTTACTAAATTCAGTACAATCAATAATTATATTTTTAATTTATACAACTAATTTTAATATTTAATCAAAAAATTTCAGTATCTTTACTACTGTTTTTTATATTTTATTTTCAGCATTCGTTTCATAATCTAAAGTCTGGTTTTAAATTCTTGTCCTTGTAGACCTGCTACCTAGGTTGATATTGTAGCCACTACTTTTACACGAAAATATATAATAAATATTTTAAAATTATTTGTTAATAATATATTAAAATATTTGAACTATTGATTAATTATATTAAGAGTCACCACAAAAAGTGTAAAAAGAAAACTCTTTATATTAAAATAAACTCAACCTTAGTAAAAGATTAACCTAACATAATAATCTTTTATCTAGTGTTAAAATAGAGAATTTTATCATTTTTAAGACATTCAAATATATTAAATTTAAATTATTTCGTTTTTTTTATTTTAATAATATTAATTATAAAATATCAATAGATGATAAAGATGTTTCCAGCAAATCGATATATAATAGAATATAAAGATTTTTCTTGGTTGATATCCATCCAATTTTTATTTTTTTTTAAATAAAAATTCACTATATATCAATAGATGATTTTTTTGTTCCACTCATGGTTTCTCTATATATATTTTGCATCTTAGCTTCAAAAATTCACTGTTTTACCAACATGAGTATAAAAACAAATTTTCATTATCTGATATAGATTTAAATACTGAAACCACAAATCTAGAAAAGGAAAATGAAGATGCTCAACTTATTTTTGGAAAAGAAATTCATACACTTTTGTCATAATACTTAAATACTAGTGCCGAAGAAAATTTTTCTCTTGATCTCAATGTTATTCCAAATTCTCCAAAATCATTTCAAAGTAAACTTTAATTTAAATGAAGAGCAACGTGACATTGATAAAAATATTGAAGAGATCTACAATGAAATTGGTACGTGCTATCTATTTTAAAATTAGTTAGTTTACTCATTTGCTTGATTTTTAAGATTATCAAATTTTAATATCTTTATTAAAATTATTTTTAAATTTTCATTTTTTATATAAAGATTTTTTTTTGTCATTTTATTTTTAAATAGGTGTAGACGTGAATATTAAAAGAAAATTGGAAGTAAGAAAACCTAATTTTCATATTGGTAAGTTACTAATGTTCTATTGGTTTCATTTATTTTATATTGTATTATTTGATATATTTTTTAAATGTTAGGAAATATTAATGAAAGTGAAGAAAACATTGAAGAGGTAGAATTGCTAAATAAACGCAAGTCAAGAATAACGAGAACACACGATCATTTATCAAGTTTTACTACAGAAATGTATTGATGAAAGATTAGAAAAATGAGTGTCAAATATGGTGGTTTTTTTTTTTTAATATTTGTGTGAAGTGCTCAACGCATTTGAAAACAAGCAAAAGAAAGTGAAACTCATGATGTGTGTAAAAGAAATGTAAAAAATTTTGGACGTAAGTGAATTCAAATTGATGTTTCTCAACTTTATGAAATTTTGTGGGTCAACCAATAATTCTTCAATTTTTAGCTTGTACCTTGAATACAAATCCAATTTTTGTATTTAAAATTCTACATCTCCAAAGGATATTTTTAACTATAATTGTTTAAAATGGACCCACAAGTTACTTAAAACATGATTAGAGAGTTATTTATGCAAACAACTTTCTTTTAATTAAGCAATTTTTTTCACTTTTAAACAATTTAAATATAAAACCTACAACAAAATATTTACTTTTATTTTTAACCAACTCCCAATAACATTAGTGATATATGACGTCATTCCAATGCAATGAAGTCATTGTTGAAAACAAAAAATAGAATATTTCGATTAAACTTTAGAAAGAAAAATTTTTATTACAAAAGTAATGTTTTTAGTTGCTCTAACTTTCCCACAATTTGATTTACAAGAAAATGAGTTTTTCTAAGAAAAAAATTAGTACTTTTCCATTTGTTATTTAAGAATAGACTAAATGGACAGATGTTAATAGAGTTGCACCGATAATGAAAACAAAAACAATCATTTCAATGAAGAGAGAAGTGATAAAATCATTTTTTTTATTAAAAAAGTCCTTCCCGCTATACAAATGTGAAAAATTATTTGGATTAAAAAGTAAATTTGAAGGATTAGAAAAGAAGAAAAAGACGATAGAAAATGATGTTGTTTGAATTGAAAATAAAAATAAAAAATAAAGAGAAATGAGTAGAACAATTATAAGAGATAAAATTGATGTAATTAATTAAAATAATATTTTATTAATTTTAAATAAATTTATTTATTATTATAATAATTAAAACATAAAAAATAATATTTTTATAAAAAAAGTTTCAACATAATCAATTATGCAATGAGACATAGTTGATTGCGTGATGAGACATAATTGATTATATCGATTATATAATAAGATATAATTAATTATGTTTCATTGTCCCTTTTCATCTCACATAGATAGAAAATCATAAAAATTAATTTTTTTTTCACCTCAATTTTCTAACTTTCATTATAAATAATTGTTCTTGAACTTTCTACGCCTAGATTCAAACAAGTCGTAAGAGAAGATTTAATGTGTACGATATTTATCAAACAAGATAATGCAAGAACTTGTAATAATCATGATGATGTTGGTTCCTTCAAGCAACTATAAAATATGGGTTTGACATTTGTTTGATGTGTTAACCAACTAATTCTCCATATTTAAATGTCTTAGATCTTAAATTTTGTAAGACAATACAAGGAATCACCTAAACCGATTGATGAGCTAGTTCATGCACTGATACAATTATTTAAAGACTTTTGTTATGTGAAGTCCAATCATATTATATATTTTTAACATTATAGTTATGTACGATGGAGATCATGGAAAACAAAGGTTCTAATAAATATAAAATTTTAGATGTTAATAAGGTTATATTAGAAAAGCACGAGAATTACTTCTATTAAATGAAGTGTAATTCAATATTAGTGTAAGAAGTTTTAATTCTAATATACAATAGGCTTTTTATGTCTATTATTTTAATTTTTTTATTTATTTAATGTTAATGTGGGAAATGTAAATTTACGTCCCAATAACTAATCGACGTAATTTTACGTTAAACACTACATACTTGATGTAATCTTACATTGATTATGATACCGTCTAATATAAATTTATGTCTTAAGAAATCCTAATATTTTTTTCTTAGATACCAACTAGTCATGTATAACAATCTTGCACCATTTTTTTCCATTGCACACCCAAGACCTTTTTTCAATGGGGTTTAAATTTTTTTATTCACTTTCATACTTGTCTTCCTAACTTTTCCAATGGCTTCCTCTCCAAGATTTTTTTCTATGGGGTTTAAATTTCTTTATTCACTTTCCCGCTTGTCTGTCTAACTCCGCCGATGATTCCCTCTCCAAGAACATAATTTAGTAAAATTGTGTTGTTCACTTGCTTCATGTAAAAAGGTATGTTTCGCTCTCACTTATATTGTTTTTGATAGAATAAAGAAAGATTATTAGGTAGTTTGGGTGTTGATACTATTTTTGCTCCTCCTAATTTTATATTACTTGGCTCCTACCGATCGGTTTTGCTTGATAAAAATCTAAAACTTCATATTATTCCTTTGTGGTTTCACTACAAAAAACTCAATGGTAATATTCATGTATTACCGTGATTGAGATAAAAAAAAAATACGGCTTTAATTTCAATAAAAAATAGAGATATAGAATACAACTCTCAATCACATAATAGATACCCAAATGCTCCAATCCAATCAATGAGAAACGTCCAGAACTAGAAAGGGATCACAATGATGGTGTCGTCACAGCTTACCATGACTTAAAAATACCCAAAAAAAGTCGCAGTGTTGTCATTGCATTCACTCAAAAGAAAACATTTTGCACGCATAAGAAAGATGAAGCCTTAAAAGGGATATAAAACAATTTTTACGTCATATAATATAAAGTTTAACGTAAATTTCACTTTTTATGTCGAACCTTGTATGAACCAACATAAAGTTGATTTTAATTTAAAAAATGACATAGAATTTTTTTTACATCGAATAATTACACATCTAACGAGAAAAACCTAAAAAAAATAAAAGGTGCACTAATATAAATTATCTAAATACTAATTGATATAGATTGTATTATGAAAATCATTCATTTAGTTAAAAATATTTCATTTCTCTAATTTTCTTAGTTATTTCTTGCATTGTCATTTTTATGTAAATAAATGTGGATTAATTGCTCATATAAATAAAAATCACATTCATTCGTTTTGATAGAAAAAAAAATTACTCCATATTAATTACTCATAAATAACCATTGATTCCTTATAAGTAAATATGAATAATAATAATAACAATAAAATATAAATAATTCAACTTAACATAAAATGCAATTCTAAATTGGAGAAATATGAAAAAAAAACTAAAAATTTAAAGTTTACATTAATATTTTTTTTTTAAGATAAATTTTAAACATCTTACTAACCATTATCATGAAATTACTATTCTAAAAAATTAGCTCTTTCATCATTATTATCTTTATTTTTTTAATTTTATTCAAATCATTATATTTTTTTCATAAAACATCTTATCAACATAGACAAATAGTTTAACTTTATTATTGATGTCTTCTTGTAAACATGTGTTGATGTTATACCTTAGAGTTAGAGAATGATACTCCAACCACTAAGCTACTAGGATTTTCTCGATAATAATTTATAAATAAATTATATTTATATACAAATAAAAATGCATATCCATGTAAATATATATATATATAATATAAATATAAAATATATAAATACAAATACAAATATATTTATATATTTATATGTTGGATGTGAGAGCGCGCTCGAGAGTGAAAGTGTGTGTCAAGTGGGTTTTCAAAATTTGATGTCAAATTTGTGAGCGAGTCTCTTTATATGAATTTGTAATTTAATAATAGAATATAATCTTTAAAATTTATTTATAATAATATAGAATATAATCTTTATAATTAATTATATAGTGATATAAAATAAAGAAAAAAATTATTTTATATCATTATATAAATAAATTATAAAGATTATATTTTGTCATTAAGTTATAATCCATATAAAGAGACTCGCTCACAAATTTGACATCAAATTTTGAAAATTCACTCGACACACATTTTCATCCTCAAGCGCGCCCTCACATCCAACATATAAATATATTTGTATTTATATATTTTATATTTATATATTTACATGGATATACATTTTTATTTGTATATAAATATAATTTATGTATAAGTTATTATCGGAAAATCCTAGTAGCTCAGATGGTTGGAGTATCGCCTTTGACTCTAAGGTACTCGTGTTCGAATCTTGCCAGTGACAATTCTCTTAATCTGATAATAATTCAAATGCCTAAAAAATATAAAAGGGAGAAAAGACCTTTAAATCAATAATAGGATAATTAGAGAGGGGTTATGAATAAAATAAATAAAAATATATAAATAACTTATACATAAAGTCACACTTTCTACATCAGTTGTATCTACATCGGTTAATGAAATAAAGTTTACTTATTAACAGGAAAATTGGCTGATGAGATGAAAAAAATTTCATATTATTTGGTTGATACAAATTTTAATCGATCTTTATATCTGTATCAATATTAAACGTTATATTTTGTTAACAAAATTTAAACATTGTATATTTTAAAATAGAAGACGTAAAACAATAAAAAGATAATTTTAATAATATCATGATGAAAAAGAGTGTAAGGCAAATTTTCATATTGATTCATAATTAAGAAGTTGAGTAATATATAAAGAAAAAAAACTCATAATTCAATATTTTAAATTTTTTGGTTGAAGATAGTATCAATCATTTGTATGGGTTGAACTTATATATCATTAGTGTTATTTATTCGGGTGAATCTCCCTCGAAAGACCCATAAGTAATATCGAATTAACTTACACTTGAAGAATAAATTGTTGAAAGATTCAAGTGAGTCTAAGTTCTATACTTATTAAAATTCGGGAAGTTGAGAATAAAAACCTATAACTCAATACCTTATGTCTTAAAATGATTTTTGTTGAATTATGTAAATTAAATTCATGTATCATTAGTATTATATCTTCTTAATTAATCCTTTTTTAAAAGATCTATGTGATATAAATCTAACCTCACTAAAAAAATAATTTTAACAATAATAACCAAAATTTTATTAATTAATTAATGTTGATAGAAAAACAATCAAATAGGTTTAATAACAACCAAAATTGTATTAATTATTTAATGTTGATAAAAAATAATCAAATAAAATAGGTTTAATGGGTGACAATAAATAATCTTCACTCACAAAAATCAACAATATAATGATATTTTTAATTAATTTGTTGAAGTTATTAGTCAGGCGTTTTTTTTTTTTTACAAACTTTCAATCAATGTCAAAATATTTATAAAAAAATTTCATCCCAAACACAAGTAACAGAATCAAATACACAGTTAAGTCAAATCTAAGAAGTTATTTGATTTATGGATAATATTATTATAATAAAAGTCATAATATCAGAAAAATAATCCCCACACACCATAAAGGAAAAAAATCATAAACGTCAATACAGTAAAATTGATTTTCTACATAATAAAAAAAACCCATACATAATAAAATCTTATGACCGTGATTCAAAATGCATCCTTTGTTATAATTTGTGTCCACGATCCAACAACTATTCACGCAAACATCAACTACAAAATAATCACAGACAGACAGTGAATAAAAAAGGTATTTTTGACATTTGCCAAAAAAAAAAACCTTTTGTTTGGAGGAAAAACTTTTATTAACGTCGATCAAAAAATAATTATGACTTAAAATAATAATAAAAAACTAATCCCAACGTCAATAAAAAAAACAAAACTTTGATTAGCTTTGACTCAAAATATACTTTTGACAATATTAACCATTTTTTTTAACAGTGTCAATTGAAAAAATATATTAAATAATTAACTTAATTTTAATTGATGACAAAAATAACAATAGAAAAATAAAAAAAATATTTTATTATTTTATTTAATTTCTATTAATTATTCGTTGATATGCAACTTTATTTATTTATTATATATATATATATATATATATATATATAAATAAAAACGGTGAAATATTAAGTACAATCCAACAATATCTATTAAAAAAATTAATCCATATAATTGTATATTATATATATAATAATTATTATTATTATAAATTTTTATAAAATTATTTTTTAATAATTAAGGTTACAATTGACTATTCATATAATATAAAAGTAATAATTTATTAAATCATTATGGTCATTAAACTTAATGAACCAATTAATATAATATGAAATACAAAAAAATATATTTTTATTATATTAAATATAAATATTTCTTATAGTTCTGATATAAAAATATATTTCTTTATAATTAAATATATTTCTTTATAATCAAATATAATACACATATAACTGAAAATATGTTATTAAATAATTGATAATTTTCATAATTTAGCTCTCATTTAAAGTAAATGTTAGATACATTTCCTAATCATTCTTTACTGAAGTCAACCCAACAAATTCAATTTAAGTTTGCATAATTATCAATTTAATTATTCGCTATTTAATACAACCTTTGTGTAAAACTAGTTAATTTTGTTTATAATAATATCTAAAACAGTATTACATTTCTCTCTAACAATAAATAATTTAATCCCATAGGTTGGAAATTTTGTAAAGACTATTGCCCACGTGGTTCGTGCTGTCTGATTCATTAGAAGTTGTTTAAGGAAATGACAAATTTATTGTTCATTTTAATTAAAAACAACTACGACCAAAGTATAGAATTTAATTTAACCAGACTCATAGTGTCAATATTAAAATTATTATATTTTGTGAACAAATTTCTTGAGTAAATTGTGAACGAAATTGATCAGCTATAAAACAATTTTACATTTTTATTGATGTATAAATTATTATTTATAATAATGTTGGGAATTTGTACTGTAACTTATACTAAAAAAAATATAGTTATTTTAAAAAAGTTATATATATATATATATATAATTTAAAATATTATATGTATGCAATACAAATAATGTGTCTGATTAATTTTGAATTGTCTTTATGAGTTTAATTGTATATTTATTACACATTTTATTTTTTTACAATTTTCATTACATTTCTAACATCATATCAATCAATCAGTTCTTAAAAGAAAACTGGTTTGCTTGATTTTTTTTTTCAAACATGTCATTTTAATTATTGAATTCTATTTTAAATTGGTCCATTTTTACATTTTAATAATAATTTTTCATATATAATGATTTTGTTAAGTTTCATATTAATTATTAAAAAATTATTATAATCCATATTATATACAAAGTAATTATCTTTTTTATTACTTTTAGTGTGATTATAGAGAAAACCAATATTTTATCTATAATATATTATGATTTATATTTATAAAAAATTAGTAAAATAAAAATAAAAAAGGTAAATATATCTAAAAATGAAAAAAAATTAAAAATATAAAAATACTAACACATAGAAATTATTATGATATTCTGATTTGTAGTTAATTATCAAGGTAAAATTATTTACATATACAATAAATAAAATTAAACCTGTTTTAGTTGCCTTTTTAAAACAATATTTGATTATTCTCATCTTTCTTTTTTTTTCACTTAAAAAAATACAATGAGAGGATGGAACACAATAATAATAATAAACAACAATAAATAATCTGTTTTTCTCTATTTATGGTGAAAACAAATAGTAATTACAATAATATAAAGATTATTATAATAATAATAAGTATATTTATTTGGGAATTTATTGTAGTAAGTGCTTCCCTCCACATCTATATCCGAACCAAATTCCCTCCTTCGTCTGCTTCTCTCTCCTCTTTCCCTCGTTTTCTCCTCTCTTTCTCTCTCCCGCTTTTTTATTTTCCGACTCACCAAACGCCCAGATCTCTCCCTCTCCCCGCCCATTCCTTCCGATTCCCCCAATTCCCACTCCCAAACCCCTCCGATCCTCCTCTGCCCGGCGGATGTCGGCCCCACGCGCTTCCTCCGCCGCCGCCGCCACCACCGCCTCCTCCAATCCGCCTGACCAGATCATGCACTCCATGAAACGCCAACTCCCCTTCTCCTCCATGAAACCGCCCTTCTCCACCGCCGGAGACTACCACCGCTTTGCCCCCGACCACCGCCGCAGCCTCGACGCCGAAGCCGTCGTCGTCAAGACTCCCGTCAGTGCTTCCCTGATTTCATTTTTTTAATTTGTCGGTGTTTTGATTTTTTTTCGTCGCCGTTGAGTTGCAGTGGGGTTTGTGGTTCAGTGTTGGTCGCTCGAAGAGTTTGCAGAGAACTAGAGATCTACTCAATTCAGGGATTGAATTAGTAATTGAGTTGTTAATTTGTCGGTATTAGTGCTGAATTAGTTTATAGGTGATACTGGAGCTAGATTGTAACTTGGGGTTTGATAAGTGGTGGTTGTGATTGAATTTTGACTAGGTGTTTGAGAGTTGGAAATATAATGTATGTGTGATTTGTTTTTATAATTGGGAATGAAATTAAGTGGTTGATATCTTTTATAGAAGGTGATAATCTGTTTCTCCTATATAGTCTTGGTGATAGTAACCTTTTGGGTTTGTAACTAGAGCAATGAGGAACTTGAAAGGATGTGCTTGGTTGATCATCAGAAGATGAGTTCGAGGTGTGATTTGTAAATTGGTCAATTTCAGGAGGAGGGAAGGAGGGAGGGGAGGGAAATTTATTGTTTGTATTAGCGGCATTGGAGTCCATTTGGAAAGGCCCATTGACTTCATATGTAATTATGCATTTTTTTTTTGTTACTTTGGCCTGCTTATTCTTTATTTGAAACATTTTACTCAACCTAAGATTAACGTTGGAGCCTGCCAAATGCATAGGTTTTTATTGGACATTTGATTTGACCACGGAACATTCACTTTATCCATATGTTCCTTGGTTAGGAATTCTGAGTTTGGCTCTGACACATTCTTTTGGGGTGGCTTTAATACTTTGGGCTGTGGGAAAAAAGAAAGGTTTTGAACTAAGTTTTTCTCATTAAATGATTACAAACTAGGAATACACTAGATAATAATCAAGTGAAAAAACGAATTATGCATAATCTTGTGATGGACATATCTATTGAGTTATTCTTTTGTTTTCCCTTGTGGACATTCTGATTAAATATTGCTTTGCAATTTTGGGCCTAAATATAGATTCTCCATTATGATAAGATGATTATGGTATGTGAATTATATGTGGAGATGATATTCTTACTATTTCTCCTAATTTATATTATTTCTCTTGACTGCAATGATTATATTTTCACATTTCAGCAATTGAAGCGGAAGAGTGAAGCAACTGATTTTGAAGCTGATTCTGGTGATAGGATGACTCCTGGATCCACTGAACCAGCTAGTAGTCCTTTTCAGACACCTGTATCAGGAAAGACAGGGAAGGGTGGCAAATCCTCTAGGATGACAAAATGCAACAGACTTGGAACTCAAACCCCAGGCTCAAATATTGGTGAATATCATCTTCCAAACTTTGCATAATAGGTTTATATATTTTAATTTTTAATAGATATCAGAAGAAAATTAAGGTAAATAATATTTTGTTGGCCTGTCAACTAACATACACCATCATTCCATTACCTGTGTTTTGGGCATGCAAAAAATTGAGATATTTATTTATTTTTCTGTAAACTTGGCAGGTTCTCCTTCAGGCAATAATCTCACTCCTGCTGGTCCATGTCGTTATGACAGCTCTTTAGGTATTATTGCTTTTGTTACTTCATTGTTGATTATCAGGGTTTTATTGTTATTAAATTCTTTATGGTGTTGTAGTTTCATCCTTTTTCATTTAGTGCCCTCAACTTCCGTTTTGCATATTAACCCCTCTTTAATTGTAGTTTATACACACATAGATACATGTGTACTTTGGTTTAAGTTGAGAACATTGATTTTTCAATCAACATTTAAATCGGTTGTTTAGTTTGCTCATATCTTATTGTGGTTTAATATTATCACAACCTACCCCTCCAAAGTTATTGTTTAGTTTATGCATTACCCTTTGGAAGAAAAACACTTCAGTGAGTCCATAAGGTTGGGCAAAGAACCACCAAAAACCAAACTGAATTGCAAACTTAACTGAACTACACCTAGAAGAACCAAATTTTATATAGCATACTAATAGCCAAACCAATTTCTATCTTGAACTCAGTTTAGATAACTACTTTCAAATCCAATTCAGTTAACGAGATTGAACTAAACTTGAATCATAGCAAATGTTATTTCAACACCCCACTCATCTTGAAGCTGATTAACTCCTTGTTGTGGTCCACACTTTCAATCTCTGCCACGACACCAAAATCTCCTAAAACACCTTATTCCTATGCCACTACCAAGTACGAAAAGAGGCACCACCTGCTCCATAATCCTCCCTGGTGTTGCTATCCTCCATATTGAAGCACATTTGATGCCATGAACATCCATCAACATGATTGTTATGCAGCATAAAGTATCATACCCATGGTTATGTTGATGAACTGGATAACCAAATGAAAAAAAATATTGGTTTTCCAATTACAGTTTGAAGAGCAGGTTTTTAAACGTGGAGTGGTTTATAAACTGATTCTGTAATTAGTTTCGATCACAGTTTGGTTCAATTTTTTAGTCAAACCAACCAACCAACCATGCCCTAGATGGATAGGACGTGTAAATGTTGAATTGCCATTGAAGTTACCTGAAGGTAAATTTTTCAAGTTAAACCAAAGTTAAGGAGGATTCAGTTACAAAGAAAATAGTGAAACTACTGGCAGATAAGGTGTAATTTTCCTTTATTCAATATGTTTCACTGACAAGAGCAAGTTGCTATACATTTATTTTAATTACCATATGTATATTATTGTCCTAAAAAAATTAGGTCTGTTGACCAAGAAGTTCATCAATTTGATCAAACAAGCTGAGGATGGTATCCTTGATCTGAATAAAGCTGCAGACACGCTGGAGGTTAATATATTTTCATCTGCTCTAGTGATTCCATGCCGTGAAGTTTGATTATTTGATCTTTTTATTTTGTATCTACAGGTGCAAAAGAGGAGGATATATGATATAACAAACGTTCTTGAAGGGATCGGCCTTATAGAAAAGAAACTAAAGAACCGAATTCAGTGGAAGTAGGAATTTGTATTCATCTGTCATCGTCATTATTTTTTTCTGAGGTATTTAAGTTTGAAACACTTCTGCTGACTCATTTGATGATTGGTCAGGGGACTGGATGTTTCAAGACCTGGTGAGACCGATGATAGTTTTGCTAATTTACAGGTTAGAAAGGATTCAATTTTCTGCTTGGGATTCACATGGAGATGTTTCTTTAGATTGGAACATATATAGCCTGATGATATATTCAAATTTAATGGTTTCCTGTCAAGAAACTTTCATTTTTTCAAACTGGAGGTAGCTGTTGTCAAATCTTTTTATGTGAGACAACCTGCGAAACATTCTGACTTGAATTTGAGTAATTTGCCTTGCTATGGGTATTTGGATTGAATTTATGTTTATATAATTTATCTTATATATATTAGACTTCAAAGATAATATTAATTCCTGAAATTTTGTTTGCATTTGATTTCTTTTTGTTTCTCATCTGCAGGCAGAAGTTGAAAATTTAACAATGGAGGAGCGCCGGTTAGATGAACAAATAAGGTTTGGGGACCATGCCTTAGCGTAGTCATCTTCACTGAAATATTGAATTGTTATCTATAAGGTTTGGGGACCTGCCTTAACTACTTAGTTTTCTAATTATTGCAGGGAGATGCAGGAAAGACTGCGGGATCTCAGTGAAGATGAAAACAATGAGAGGTGATATTTATTTTGCCTTTAGCCATCTTTGTGGATTATTTGGCTACTATTTTTTGTGCATAACTATAAAGATGTTTGTTTCTTTTAATCTATGTCCACCTTCATAGGTTACTTTTTGTTACTGAGGAAGATATAAAGAATTTGCCCTGCTTCCAGGTAAATTTTTTGTCTTACGTTCTTTGCGTCACATCATAATTTTTTTTTCGATGTTTACTGAACTTAGTCTTTACTGCCAGAATGAGACCTTGATAGCAATTAAAGCTCCTCATGGCACCACTTTGGAGGTCCCTGATCCTGACGAGGTATTTTGAGAAGGAATGAAGAGTTAAATAGAAGTTAAATAATAAATATCACTTGCATCTTTCTCAACGTAAATCCCCCTTTTTAGGCTGTTGATTATCCGCAGCGGAGATATAGGATAGTCCTCAGAAGCACAATGGGCCCAATAGATGTTTACCTTGTTAGGTACTTTTTTATGTTAAAATCAGTTACCTCAAGGGTTTATTGGAATGGCATGGTCTGCTGACAGTGCCAGATGAGGCAATGATGCTTCACATGAAACATGTAATGAAGTTAAGACTCCTGACCCCTCCTTTTTCTCTGCCATTTTTAGTCAATTTGAAGAGAAGTTTGAAGAGATTAATGGTGTTGATGTTGCATCCAAACTTCCATCCAGTCCAGATGTTAACAAACATCAATCAACAGTGGTCCCAGAGGATAGAGGGAAAGGCATAGAAGTTCATGGACAAGATGTTCACGGGCCGAGTTCAGATTTTACTACCTCTCAGGATTTCGTGAGTGGGATCATGAAGATTGTTCCTTCAGATGTTGCTGTAAGTATCACCTTAGTCTGCGAGACATTTGTTTTACGTATTACGTTGCTAATGCGAGAATACATCTATTGAAAATTGTGAGGGAAAGTGTAGCCTATAGTATGGAAACACAGTCTCAAAGCTGTAGGAGATTATCTTTCAAAATTGTGCACAAATCTATGATTACATATTCTGTTTGTTTTTGAGGGGGAAGGGGGATATAAATTTTTGCAAAGTCTTTTTTGCTGTAACGTGTAAACATGAATTCAATATCGTTTCTGATCAAAGAACTGGACGCGCAAGTATTGCAGCTTTTTTGAAACTTTTTTTCTCTTTGCAGAGTGAAGCTGATTACTGGCTTTTATCAGAGGCTGATGTTAGCATAACTGACATGTGGAGAACAGAACGTATCCACTCTAAACTTCTTAGCCTCCATTACATTCTTTAGATATGCCATGCACCCATACACACCTGGACGGGGAGGGGTTTGGGAGTTTCACAAAAAAATAGGAATCCAAGCTTGAAAATAATCTGAATTTTCCTTGTTACATTTACAGCTGGAGTTGAGTGGAATGAACTGGATCCGCTTCAAGAAGATTACTGTGTGACTCGCGAGAACACTTCGACCCCAAGTCATCCTTCAAATGTAGGTGAGGTGTCTTCCGCATCGAAACCCACTGGAGGTTGAAGCTTCAAAAGGATGCATTGTGAATATAAAAGTGAACATGGTGTTCCTTTTCCTGCTAAGAACCTATGACATCCAGCCATCTCCCGTTCGTATCCTCTCCACATTGCCCTGGTGGTTGGATTGAAGGTTCCATGAAGATGCTTTCTCATGTCTCTCCAAGAAGCTAGTACGAGGAACTGAGTGACAATCAATTGGCTCATTGTACAGTAAAATATTACATAACCTAAGCGACCTTAGTTCAAGAAAAAAAGATCTTGATGCTTTGCTGAAACCATCTTTGTATATTATTTTAAGTCTTGGCTATCTAGTACTTAGCTCGATGCCTTATGTTTGGCAAACAATAAAAAACTTGGCAATGCAAATTGGAAGAGTTATGCTTATAACCTTTAACTCTTCGTCCATTTCAATTGTTGCTATGTTTGTAATTCAGCATTCTGATGGTGAAATGACAAGTTTCATCCGGGATTTTAAGATCTTTCTCTTTTTTTGGGACTTGGCGATTACCCTACCACTCACTATTCTATTGCTCCGTGGATAATCAATCCAATGAGTGACTGACTATAATCAGTAACTTATTAGTGAGCTTATTAATTATAGCGATTCTACTAAAATGGTGGGTGTAGTCATGCAAGCGTATTATTGCAATGTTAGTGGGGCATATAGAATGTGTATTATTAAACATCATTTTCATTATCGTTAAGAAATAATAAAAATGTAGATGCCTATAAGTGCGGAAAACTAATGTCCATCTGGCTACAAAAACGATATACTACAAAGAGAAGCATGTTGAGGGAACATAGTGTGGCTTTTGAAGGTATCACTACAGGCTACTTATCTTTCTCAACTTTCTTTCCAATCCAACCGGCCACAATCGGCGTAAGAGCCACTGTGGGTGGAAACCTAATTGGAGACGCAGCTTTATGTGCAGCATATGCCAAAGCGAAGGTACCAACTTTTTCGCCAGTCTCGTCAGCTGAGATTCCAACCTGAACATAAACACGCAATTTATTAATCCCAAGCAATTATTTTGTTTTAAATTAAATTGCAATCTACATCAGGTTTTGTTTTAGTGTTGCACCTTCTGCAGTAAGGCTTGGACATCAATTCCAGCACTAATCAGTGCATAACAAAGCGCGAAAGAAATCAATGACAGTGTAATCGAGGTGGCCAGGTATGCTCCTCCATATTTTGCTAGCAATTCCTTGGCCTGATCACCCTTTGATTTTCGTTGGTCAGAATCATCCTTTCCTTCCTCTTTTGAGCTGAAAATCTGCGAGAGACCATATTTTTTATTTTAGATAGAGTACAAAAAGGTACTCAATAGTGGTTCATTACTTATCATTCCTTAAAGTAAAAAATTCACCCACAACGCATCATTTGCTCCCCAAAAGTGGAGAAAACAGAAAACGATGCAAAGGAAGGAATGGAAAGAAAACCTACAATTTAGGGATAATCACAGAAGCAGAAGCTTCATAGGCTATGACTTAAAAATTTAAAATTTGATTCAGTGACATATTTTTTTTAGTTATCGCAATCAGGGAAGCAACCCAAATTCAATTCGACAAGCAAAACTGGTTCCTTTTGGCTCACTGTTTAAAATATATTTTTTCAAAACCATATCAACAAATGTCAGTCATAAAATCATATCTTGGCATATCCTTCGATTATACTTTTGACTTTCTCCAAGTTCAATCCAAATTATGCTTCTTTTTTGCAGCATACTTAATTGAGTGGGAACCAATACACACTTAGCATTCAAGCCAAGAAAAAGAGGCAGCTACAAACAATTACACACAAACACGAAACTACCCAAAAACAAGAAACCTACGGTTCACGAATTTGGAATCTTTTAGCAATCTTAAACTCCTAGATAAGCCAAAATAGACGAGAAAAGAAAAGGGCACCTTCCAGAGTCCAGCTTCAAGGCCATACTTCTTTGTAACTTCTTCAGGTGAAGATGTCTGTGAAGGGCTTTCAATTTCCTCCGTTTTCTCTCTAAGAGCTCGTACTCTGAAGCCCTTCACATGAGATGATTTAAGTGTGTGAAATGAAGCAGAAGTGGAAATTCTATTAGTCCCTCTGCTCAGAACATTAGCACAAGAGGGGGAAGGGAGTAGCAAAGATGTGCTCATCATTTGGCCCTCACAAATCTTCTACCTGATACTCTCTAACAATTTGTTGTGTGATGATCAAAACTGAAAGCAAAAAAAAAATGAGACACACAAAGTGTTATGTTATACGTGAGCTCACTTGAGCCACCAAAGAGAAATGATTGTAAACGATAACGATGGGACAAAATATCAGTTTATAAATTAGTCGAGTCATCAACTCAGAGGCACAATTCTTCTGTGTTCATTGCAATGGGCTTCCAAAATAAGCCCAAAAGAAGGTCACGTGCCATGAAATTTATGGTCATTCGATTGGAATGGAGCGACACGTAACAAGCAATACAAACACAATTGTTTCGATCCTCATCATCTTTTCTCCCATTTCTGCACCTCATTTTTTTTCACTGTTTAAGTTTTATTTTAATATTTCTAAATGGGATTTACTAATTTGCATTTGCTTCTTTTTTTAAATGGATTTTGGCAAAACATGATTTAAAAAAATTATTTAAAAAATAAATAGGCTTATTGTTATAAACTCTAGAAATTTGCTTACATATATACACTTATTTTTTCAAATAAATAGTTTAACAAATCATAATACTGTTTTTAAGAATTCATTAACATTAATATTTTATATTCAATTATCATAATTTTACTAATTTTATCATTCATGTTATTTTCCCATATTTTACTATCAATTTTTTTATATACTTCATTATCCAATTTTTTTCACACAATTTCAATTTTTGTATTCTTTAGAATCCAACTTTTTTACACACTTTGCTGTCATATTTTCACTTTATACACACATTACCATTTTATTTAAATCAAAACATCACTGTAAAATTGATAATAAAGTAACGCCGATTTTTAAATACATCACCACATTATTACAAATTTAACATACTGATAACATATGCCAAAAAATGTAAACAGTAAAATTTGTAAAAAGATGACAGTTGTTGAATGCTAAATATATTATTAAACATATTTATATATATGGAAGACATTATTGTCAAATTTATACAGATAAAATTATTTTTTTAAGAATTTAAGCCACAAATTTATAATTAACATTCATATTAAACCCTTATTTTATATTATTCTTGTAATATTTAAGATGAATTTTATTGATTAATAACTTATTATCATTTCATTTTTATTTATACAATATTTTTTTTAAAAGCTTCAAACCAAACAATCCATAAAAAATCAATGACTAATGCAAAATATTTAAATTTTGACAAACATAGCTCCTTTGCAGAAGTACTACAATGACTTAGACTTTTGCATTCTTTAATATGAGTTGTGTACCATACTTTGTTTAATGCAAGGACAAATCTGTATTTAGCAGCTTATAATTTTTTTTAATGTAAATTTAACACTATTCCACCAAATAATAATAGTTTGATTTCATTGATTTAAATTACCTACATAATGTATTTGCTTGAAAATAATTGTATTGACTCTTTCACATATAGAAGTTTATATATATTTATACTATACATGACTTTTAATTTTATTTTAGTGTAAAATGGAAGAAATTATATCGTGGATTTAAAAATAACTACGTGTAAGGATTTAGGTTTTATTAAAATATTGTACAATTATATATTATATCCATAATAATATCTAAGAAGAAAAATTAGATAAATAAATATAAATGTTAAAATAATTTCCACTTATAACCGATAATAGGCATGCCAATGCCACGAAAAATTTTAGTTGGAGAAATAAAGGGAATATGTATCAAACCCACTACCTTATCATATTAATAGTTAATAGAATTGTGATTGATGAATTCAAATCATTACCTTAAAATTTGGAGGTTGATATTCTAACTACTAAGCTACTAAATTTTTTTATAATAATTTACAAATAAATTATATTTATATACAAATAAATGTATATACATGTAAATATATAAATACAAATATATTTATATATAATTAAATATTTATTTTTTAAATTATTATAAATTAATCTAATTATGATAAAATTAAATTATTAAATATTTTTTTTAATTAGGTGAATAATTAATTTATTAGAATATAATTTTACTAACGAATATATTCAGTCGAGTAACCAATTCTTCAATGGATTTACCAACGGATATATCCGTCATGAACTAATTATTATTTTACCGATGGATATATTCGTCGGTAAAACCAAATTTCACAAATATTTTATATCTGTCGGTAATTACTTATTTTCCAATGGCTACAAATTCATCGGTAAAAATCATCGGAAATATGCGATTTTTTTAAATATATATATATATGGAACTTAGACATTTATTGGTTTGAAGAGCATCGATTATTTTGTCTCATGTGAACATATTTTATTGTTTAGGAGGACTTACACTTATTTGTTTTTTAGTCCAAGTACTAACAGAATTTGCTATGACTTTTTATTATCGTCCAACTATTACTGAAGTTTTTTATTTGTTCAATATATAATGACTGAGGCTAATTTTGGTTGATTAATGCGATCAGTTCATCGATGGTCGTCAAATATGATGGCCTCAATGATGATCCTACATGTATTTCATGTATATCTTAAAGTTGATTTTAAGAAACCTTGTAAATGAACTTGGACTATGAGTATAGTTTTTGTTGTATTAACTGTATCTTTTGGTAATACTGATTAGTTTTAATTTAATAGACCTATCCTAAATATTCAAAAAATAGGTTAGACTAGCTAACAAAATTTATGATTTAAATTGAATCAGATCTATCTTGAATTGATTCATTTAGACTTTATTTTGTATGAACTAGACTAACCATAAATTTATACACCGTTTTATCAAATTTACAAATACTTATAAAAAAGTGGAGTAAGTCATTGTATTTAGAAACTATATTTCAACCATCACATTGAAATACCTCTAAAGAGATAGCTAAAGTCATAAAGTTTACACTACTCCATAAACTTAAAAAAAATTCAAAATAATTATTTTAAGAGACAGGATTATGACCAAAATTAGTATTTTAGTTTTGTTTAATTTTGGAGTTGGCTGTATAAGTTTTTTATAGTCATCTTTATTTGGTTTTTGATTTAACATAATTCATTAAAATTATGTTGATAATTAAAGAAACAACTCACAATTTTTTTTACCACTATAAACATGTCATAATTGATATTATTTTTACACAATCATAATTGATACTATAATAAATTAAAACTAAAACAAAAGGATAAAACATCAAAATGAAAGAGAAAATATTAAAGATTTAATTGTTTATCGTTTCTAAAAATAATAGTTATTTAAGTTTTTAAATTAAAAACTTGTTTAATAATTATTTTGTTAAATTTTTTTAAAAACTATTTATTTTTTTAAGTTTTCAAAAACTAAAAATCTGATAAAAAAGTATTTTCTATTTTAGCTTTTTGTTTTCATGAATATTAATATTTCTACAAATAATTATACTAAATCATTCTTTTTTTATTATTATAAAATTATCAAAATTATTTTCAAAATTTTCACATAACTTGTCGTAATTATTTATATAGTTTTTTTTATCAAAATAATTTTTAAAAATAAAGTTATGAAATAAGTTTTTTTTCTTCATTTTTTTTAAAATTAATTTCTAAAACTGCTTCTAAAAACTGAAAAAAAAAAATCAAATAAACCCAAATAACTAAAATACTACTTTTGCCTAATTTTATAATTACGATAAAATATCCATTAATACACTAGTTTAATTTTTCTAAATTATGAACAACTATAGATTTAGTTTTTAATATTATAAAAACGTTATTTTCGATTCTATTTTAATTAATTATATAAATTGTTTTATGCATAGAAGAAAAAACAAAAGGAATTTTTCTATTAAGAGTAGTCGATAAAGATTTCAATCATCTATAAAATCAATATTTATTTCATATCAATAACATAATTATTTTTAGTATATTTAAGTGTATAGACACATTTTTCTTTAAATCCTAAAACATAAAAGCGCAATCATCCTGAATTTTACAAAGTTTGATGATTTTCAAGGATTTTAATAAGAAAATGTTAAATATTATAAAAAAATATATTTTTCTTATGATTTTAATTACTAAATAAAAATTTATGGTGCTTTACGAGATATACACCCATCTTAAAATTTACATAGGTAGCATAATTTTACAAGGAGTCAAGCCAGATTGTTGATTTTTGGGTCATATAATATATTTATGAATTAATAATAAATAAATATAAAAGAGTAAAAGAAGATAAAAAGGTAAAAATGACAAAATTATAAATAAAATATATTAAATGATCAATAAGTTTGTGAGACCAAAATCAATGAGAATTGCAAAACTTTGGAGTTTGGAAAATTAAAAACATAAATACAAGTTGGAGTTACAAAACTTTAGAGGGGTCATGACTCATCTCAATTCTAAAAAATATGTTATTAAAGTTAAGTATCATACTTTAAACAATTTTAAGAATATTTACGAAATTGAGAGGATATATGTTGAATATAGAAGAAATAAAGTTTGTGATTAATCTCCCATGTGTATAAATCACACATAGGGTAGTCTATTTATAGTAGAGAGATACAACTAAAAGAGTAACTGAAAGTAACAGAATAAACAGAAGATATTGTTTGATATTGTGGTTAATATCTAACAATATCTTATCAATATTAAATAATATCTAAACAATATCTAACACTCCCCTTCAAGCTGGAGCATACAAATCGTATGTGTCAAGCTTGTTACAAATATAATCAATTCTAGGATCACGTAAAGATTTAGTAAAAATATCTGCTAACTGATCACTTGAGTTAACAAACTCAGTCTTGATGTCTCCAGACATAATCTTTTCTCGAATGAAATGACAGTCAATCTCAATGTGTTTGGTCCTCTCATGAAAGACAGGATTATAACTAATATGAAGAGTAGCCTGATTGTCACACACAAGTGACATTTGAGTGACATCTCTAAATTGCAACTCTCTAAGCAATTGTTTGAGTCAAACAAGTTCACAAGCAATTGAGGTCATAGCTCTATATTCTGCTTCTGCACTAGATCTTGCC